ATTGCAGATGGTGACAACAGCCACGAAATTAAAAGACACCTGCTTCTTGGGAGAAAAGCTATGACAAACCTCGACAGCAACTTAAAAAGCACACATCACCTTGCCGAGAAAAGTCACATAGTCAAAGCTATGGTTTTTGCTGCAATGATATATGGAAGTGAGAGCTGGAACATAAAGAAAGCTGACCGCCGAAGAATTGATGCTTTTGAATTGTGGTGCTGGAGGAGGCTCTTGAAAGTCCCCTGGACTGCAAAGAGAACAAACCTATCCATTCTAAAGGAAATCAACCCTGAGTGCTCACTGGAAGGACAGATCCTGAAGCTGAGGCTCCAATACTTTGGCCATCTCATGAGAAGAGAAGACTCCCTGGAAAAGACCCTGATGCTGGGAAAGTGTGAAGGCAAGAGAAGGGGATGACAGAGGATGAGATGGTTGGACAGTGTCATCGAAGCTACCAACATGAATTTGACCCAACTCCGGGAGGCAGTGGAAGACAGGAGGGCTTGGCATGCTCTGGTCCATGGGGTCACGAAGAGTTGGACACGAATTAACGACTAAACAACAACAATAATCCATCAACAATAACTGTTTTCTTAGGCAACTGATGATTCACCACTTGAATTATAAAGCTTCATGAATCAGCTGGGCAGATGCAGGAATAGAGATCTGTTTTCAACAGTGAGCCTCTGATTTCTTTTGGCCCCTTGAAGTAAAACCAGCTTAATGACCAGAGACAGGTTTCTTGCAATTACTTCTTTCATACTCTCACAGACCATGGCTTGAAGGTGCCTGGTTTAGCCGTTGGACACTGCACAGAAAAAAGAAGATTGAAGTAATTTAAAAAGGAGGGCAACAAACACTTGCATTGGGCTGCAGTACCTAGGCCCATCCCCTGATGTGACATATTTCAGTTGCTAGGCAACAGAGTACAACCCTCTTCAGATTCACTGATTTACCACCCAGAGTAAAACTGCCAGCCTGGATACTAAAGTTGGCTTTCTGGCATTTACAATCATGGGCATGGAAATAAAACCTCATTTCTCAGTCCTGCATGAATAGCAAGAAAGTTGAAAAATTCAGAAAAGCAGTTTTAAAAAATACATAATAGGAACAAGCAGAGAACAAAACGAGAAAATAAAAAACACTGTTATAATCAGACTTGTTTACCAGTCACATGTTTTTAGGGATACCTATTTTTTCATTTCAAAAAATAATATAATCTGCCACTTCTTTATACTTAGGAAATGGAGACTAGGTGAGGCAAGAGCAGAAGCCCAACAGGTCCAGACATAAAGGAAGACATAGTGTCACGAGGGCTTAGTTTTTCACACACCACCAGCCCAACATCAACAAAAGCTTGCTTGTCATGTGCACTCACAACACTAAATACAGACAATGGATCACATGTTGTGACAAGGTGCTGGCCACTTTGGAAATGCCCTTTATAGAGGCTGATGATTTACATATAAATTCATCCAAGTACAATGAGCTCACAATAATTAAATGTCTTAATTAAATGTCTTATAGACTGGCGCTCCAATAAAAATTAGCATGGACACAGTAATCAATTTCTTCTTTAAGAGTGTGGCTTCACGAATAAAAATTATGGAAGTGAGCCAGAAGGTAGAAAAACTGAGAAGCACAGAAAAAATATGAAATGCAAAAAAAGAGAGAGAAATTAATTAATTGCTGTTTTGGCATCCCACACCATCTGTCTGTCTGTGTCTAGAAACCATTTCACAAAATTCAATACATTGAGGTCAAAGTACTGCAAAACCTGAGACCCCTGGCTTGGATTTAACCTCTGCCATGAACACACTAGGTGCCCTTGAGCAAGTTATTTCTCTCATGGCCCCAGTCTACCTATCTGCACTATGGACAATAACAGACAACACCTAATAGGATTGTTACAAGGATTGTTCTTAGATGATGCACATGTGCTCTGAATGAATTCAAAGTGCTACACAAATTAGAATTCCTCAGGAGTCCCTTCATTCACTTTGCATGCAAGATCAGTGCTTTGGATCAGGGTCCAATTCAGTTCAGAATAATCTGGATTATCTCTGATCTGCTCCAAACTCTGAATCCACAACATGATTTAGAAATGCAAATCTCTGTACCTCCTATTTATCTGAATAGGGAAACTCAAATGGCCATAACTCAAGGGTTCTTGCAAAGGTCCCAAAGCTATCTGTATGGTTAACCTCATATAGAGGATTCACTTCTCTTTTCAGATGTAAGTCTAGTCCAGGGGTCTCAAACATGCAGCCCGCAGGCCATCTGTGGCCCGCCAGATGATAGTTTGTGGCCCCCGCCTTGCCTGCCCCCCTGAAGCGCCCACACATCCTCTGCTGTCAAGAGTCAAAAAAAAGCCTCGCCTCACTCACTGGCTGTCTCCCAAGACAGCGCCTCTTGCACCCTCCATCCGGAACTGCAGCCTACCAGCCAGCCCACCTGTCTGCCAGCTGGCAGGCTGCAGTTCTGGATGGAGGG